GTGGAGTTGCCCAGGGTGGGGAAGGGGAGGAGACGGGTGTTGGGCAAGTCGGTTATTCTCTGGACAGATGTTTGAGCAGCCTGAAGCGCTTACTGGAACAAAGGCAAGGATAAATAACCAAACCTATCCTGGTGTCTGTCCCCATACATTTAAATATTCTTTTTTTTTCTTCTTTTTTTTAAAGATTTTATTTATTTATTTGAGACAGAGAGAATGAGAGACAGAGAGCATGAGAGGGAGGAGGGTCAGAGGGAGAAGCAGACTCCCTGCCGAGCAGGGAGCCCGATGCGGGACTCGATCCCGGGACTCCAGGATCATGACCCGAGCCGAAGGCAGTCGCTTAACCAACTGAGCCACCCAGGCGCCCTACATTTAAATATTCTTCAACTTGTTTCAAATGGAATCCAAACACTGAGCATGATTTAGATGGTCACATTGGTACCCTTGGCCCGGCCTCGGGAACTGCTTTTGAGCTTTCTGACTGAAGGGAACCAAAACTTCCTTTACCCTTAAAAACAGAAATAAATTCTGGATCTGCTTAGGACTTCTTGGAAAAAAGGCAGAGTGGAAAGAGAAGCTATCTGGTCAAGAGTCATCTTGCTGAGCTCGCTTCTGAGGTAGGACAGAACCTTCATGATGGTTGGCGGTGAAACTGCTTATCAGTGGAATATGTGGGGTGATGGTGATTTAGATCAGGGGAGAGGGGTACAGTGTTGTTGGATCTGCCATCACATTAACCCAAAATATTTTCAGTATCCCTTCACTTCCATACAAAACCTGTCCACTTGGTGTCCCTGTGCGTCACCATAAAGTCCCTTTCTTACTCTTTCTCACGGTGGATCCTCACTCATCTTTCTATACTGCCACTGTGTTCTGCCTTCATCATGAGTTTGTCCGTTCCCTCTTCATCCTCTGAGGGAATTTCCAGACCAGTGAGTGGCAAAGAACCAGGCAGAGGTTAGTAAGTAGGTGACCCAGTCGGTATCAGCACTGAACAGCATAAACAGAAAGAATCTGAAACTGTGGATCCTTCCAACACAGGAAATCAGGTCGAAGCCAGCCCGCCTCCACCAACTCTGGGAAGTTGGTCAATCTCTTGACTATTAGTCTAATCATTCATTGATCTGACTTGGCTTTGCAAGAGACTGCATATCAAAACCTAAAGGGCATTCTGTAGGTCCGCACTTTCTAGTGTTGTAGATACTGTTTATTAAGTTTTCTTGAATCTGACATTTGTTTAAGGACATATGAAATATACAAGGGTTTTTGTAAATGTTGTGCAGCAAGTGGGTCCTAATGGCCCCTCTGCTCCTCCACCCCATCAACTCAACTGGATTCACTGAGTAATACAAAATTTATAGTATGGAATCTTGGGATAGGCTGTTAGCAGAATTGATGGGATCATTTATATTCTTAGAATGGTCTAAATATTGACTCAGCCCATTCACCTCAGGTTTAATATGTATTCCAAGGGTTGGGAGAGAGAAAGAGGAACCCACAGATTGATTTGTCCTAATCTTGAATCTCCTGGTGATGGCTCTCTTTCAAAGTATTTCTGGCTTGAGAGGTTTTGAAAGAATTCTTGCCCTTCCTGAAATGTAATGCTTCTTGGAATAAGGAGAGGGCTGGAAAGGATGGATGTAATGGATCTGCCCTCTATTCAGTGCTATACTTTTTTTTTTTTTTAATTTGTTTGTATTTGTTACAACCTTTTAAAGCAGAGTGTGACTTGAGCACTACATTTCCACTCACAGAACTTGCTGTGTTACTTCTTGAACAGCTTTACAACATGCCTAAATAGGCTTAGAATTTCGCTACTCTAAACTATGCTCTTCTTTGGAAAACAAGTCCTATACATAGTTACTCTCATCCAGTTGGTTCAGTTTAACTACTAGTTTCTAGAGGCCTGGTACATGCAGTTGATAACTACAGGGGATAGAAGATTTAAAAAGCAGATCCTAGACAGTGCTATACTTTTAATACATTTCTAAATTATACCACAGACATTATTGGTGCAAGGACAGACACATAGACCAACGGAACAGAATAAAGAATCCAGAAGTAGACTCACTCATATATGTATGATCAATGGATTTACCCTTATGATTCAGCAAGAAAAGGATGGCCTTTTCAACAAATGATGCCAAAGCAGCTGATGTCCTTGGCGGCGGGGGGGGGATGGGATGAACTTTGGCCTCTACTTCATAGCATGCACAAAAATTAATTCAAGATGGCCCACAGACCTAATGGGAAAGGTAAAACCATAAAGTTTGTAGAAGAAAATAGGAGGTCTTTATGACCTTGGGCTAGGCAAAAATTTCGTTTAACAAGACACATAAAGCCCTAATCATAAAAGAAAAATGTGATAAATTGGACCACGTGCAAACTAAGAATATCTTAGTTTTTAAATTATGCCACGGGAAGAATTCATAGCATGTCTTCAAGGCCTGTAACAGAAAAGCAGGCTGGAAATCCTCCAGGTGCTCTCCAGAATGTGCCCCCTGACAAAGACCGAGGACTCCACTACCTGTTCTGATGATAGGGAGATGGATGCAAGTTAAAATAAGTAGTTGGTTGCAAGGCTCAGGCACTGAGACCTCACAGTAAAAAAAAAAAAGTCTTACATTCCTTGTGTGTTTTTAATACATGAGAGGCAACTTTGTTCCCGAGCCCCTCCACAACAGAACACTAGAGTATTCTTCTCGGAACAATCTCTTGAGACCGCCTGGGCTTTGAGGTCATCCTGACGAGTCTGTGTGTGGGGAGGAGGACAGAGCCATGCAGAGGCCCGCAAAGAGGTGAGCGAAAGGAGTTCAGATGCCAGCCAGATCCAGTTCTCCAGGAGCCCCACCCCTGGGTCCCAGGACCCTGGAGGAAGCCTGGGGTGCAGTCAGGCCAGGCCCAGCCCTTTGCGGGGTCCTGTGTTGCTTCAGTCAGACTAGGAAGCATGGGAGACAGAACCAGAAACACACACAAACACAGCATGACCACGCTCACCCCATCCACATTTGCAACTGAAAAGCCAAGATAGACGCTTCCTCTTCGGACCTACCGGGTTAGAGGAAAGGAAGCGCAAAATATATTTAGAGCTTTCGGAACTTTGTTTTGCACATTCTTACAAAGGGGAAAAAATAAAAATACCCCAGGGGATTAGAAAAAAAATCAGCATCTAATACTTTAGATGAGTGGGAAAAATCTTATATGCTGGAGTCATTTCCTTTCTGTTTCAAAAAATTATTAGTGTGCTGGAAATAGCCTGTTGCAAAAGGGGAGATTTTGTGTCCTTTGAATGCTGATTGTGCCAGAAAATTTTCCAGGCCTAAAGGGGAAGTCGTCCCTTTCCCAGGACACTGATGCAAGATGACCCCACAGTTAGACGTTTTATTTGGCTGGAAGACCCAAGGCAATGGAGAGCTGAAATTCAGAGGGAATGATTAACTCATTCATTCAAGAACTGGCAGGGGCCCCCCCAGCAGTAAGCAAGCACACCGCTCTGTCTGTTGGTTTCAAAAGTGCTCCATTTCAGAGCTGGACCCGCAGGTGGGGTTACTTGCATGAGCTCCAGGTAATGTGTAAAGGATCGAAGTCCTGAGAGTTTCCCGTGACATCGTATTTAGGCATTGGTTGGCTGATTAGAGCTGGTCAGCACTTCATCCACAAAAGGCCCCATTGTAAATGTTTTAGGCCATACGGCCCTGGCCACAGTGGCCAGACTTGAGGCATGACTGTGTTCCAATAAAAATTTATGGACACTGAAATGTGACTTTCTTAATAATGTTCGTGTCATAAAATATCCATTCTCCCCCTGCCCCTCGCCCCCAACCATTTAAAAACACAAAGACCTCTTAAGTGCCAGGCCAAAACAAATGGCAGGCCCAATTTGGCACATGAGCCATAGTTTTGGCCAGCCTTTTGGTAGCAAAAAAATGTTGGTCCTGTGTAAGGACCTTCCTACCAGACGGGATAGGTAGGACAAAAAAGTCCTAGAGAGGTGTTCCAGAATTGGGGGGACGGGCAGGTATGGCCCTGGGCTCTCGCTGGGTGGTCTCCTACCCGCTGAGGCTAGGGAGGCAGTGTCTAGACACGTTCCCCCACTTGCCAGTGGCCCCTGCCAGGGACCTAGACACTTAGAGCCTGGGAAAGAGCTGTGTCCTTGGACACCCTTGTCACACACAGTAGACGTGTCACTGCTGCTGTTTAACCCACTGCCTCCCCAAACTGAGAAGAAAGCTCTTTCCCCCTTCCTCCTGGAGCCCCAGGCCACTTCTGTTCAAAGGTATCTCCTTGCAGTCTCCCAGGGCACGCGGCACTCTGCGTTTCTGTCTGAGATGAAAGTCGTCATTCCTCCCTGATCACCTTGACTTGTCGATCTCAGATCCTAAGGCTTCTTAAAATAGGGACTGCCATCTTTTCTAAGCGCTCAGCACATTTTCAAATATCTTCTTAGATTTTTTTCTTTCATTACCTAAGGAGCAGTTGGTTATTACCCGCCCCACCAAAAAAATAGCAATTCTGGTAAACGGGCGCCTGTGTGGCTCAGTCGGTTAAGTGTCCCACTCTTGATCTCAGTTCACGTCTTGATCTCAGGGTCGGGAGTTCGAGCCCTGCATTGGGCTCCACACGGGGTGTGAAGCCTACTTAAAAAAAAAGGGTGGGGGGAGGAATTCTGGTAGCAAAGAGGAAAAACAAACATTTTGGAACTAAATTTCATTATATTAATTGGAACATCCCCAATAATGCAGAACAACTGGTAAATTTAAATCATTAAACATGATTTAAGGGAGCAGAAAATTTCATAAACAATACATTTTTCTTCTACTGATTTTTGTTTGTTTAGATGTGTGCATTTCCAAAGCAGAGCTTAAAAATCATGCTGGTGGCAGGGGGATGCCAGGCTGGTCTTTGCAGTTTGCTTTAGATAAGGCACAGGAGGGACGGCCTCATAAACAGAATCAAGTATTTACTTCCTAGTATGCTGACTAATGTTACAGACTGTTTAAAAAGATGCGTTTGGCTTTGCGTTCTCTCTTGAAGGTCCTTCCATTGTGACACCCCCCAAGGACATCCGGAATGTCACTGGCGCCCAGGTGTACTTGAGCTGTGAGGTCATCGGAATCCCAACCCCTGTCCTCATCTGGAACAAGGTCAGTGGCATGGATTTCAGGAAGATCCCCTAGACTGACGAGCTCCTCTCTCGCCATCCAGCGATGGCAATAATCTAAAACCTTTAGCCTCTTCTATTCCCTGCTGCTCCTCAAAGGTGAAGCCCTGTGGTGATCTTCCAGACACCTCCCCTGGATCTACTGAACAATTTTACTGACCTCCAGAACGGTCTCCGCTCTGCTTTCGTGGTCAGTGCCTGAGCATGGAGCCTTAGGAACTAGAAAACTGTAATGCTGAACACCCAAACCCACCCTGCGAGTGTGTGTGCGTGTGAGTGTGAGCATGTGTGTGCGGGAGTGTGTGTGTTCCTGTTGGAGACAGTAGAGCATAGTGGTAAGAATGTGGGTTCCCTAACCACCTCACTAGAGTTCTAAGCCCAGGGCTTCTTACCCTGAGCTCTGTTAGCACTTCGAACCAGATAATGCTTTGTTGTGGGGCTGCCCTGTGCACTGTAAGAGGTTTAGCAGCGTTCCTGGCCTCAAGCGGCTCTATGCCGTGGGCCACCCCCAGTGGTGGCCAGTCCAAAAGGAGGCAAGACACTGCCAAATGTCTCCTGGGGGACAGGTCCGCCTAGAATGAGAACGGATGCTCTAAACCTCAGTTTCCTCCCCTGTATGATGAAGGTGGCATATAATTTCTGTAAAGATTGCATAGAGCGATGCAGGTGAAGTCCCTTGGCTTGTGCTCAGATACATAGTTAATGCTCCCTTGATGTTAGCTGCTGGTCCTGGAAACGTTTCCCTTCATGTGCCATTATCTTGTGGAACTGTCTTCACATTTGAAGGATGACCTAGTCCCAGCATGTCTGTCTGTGGAAGGGAATAGAAAACATTCCTTTGCCAGATCCAATGATACCTCACAGTCATTTTCCATGCTTTCCCTTTTTGTACATTTCGACTCGGTCAAGCCTCACAACAACGCTATGGAGTAAATGTCATCAAACTTGCGCTAACAAAAAGGAAATAGAGTTAAGTGAAAAGGCGTCACCAGATACCGCTTTTTAGCTGGTTCGCCATCCAGCAAGCTCTCAGATGCTCTCTCTCGATTATTTTGTTTGCTGGTATCTGACCAGAGGATCAACTTCTGGAATTCCAGAGGGATCTTGGCTCCCATGGTCAGAATCTTTATGTTGTTGCAAGTTATAGAAGCTCCCTTCAGGTACTTTGAGCAAGAGAAAGGGAGGGTGAGGAGTGGTGATTCCAGCCTCGAGGGCACCTGGATCCAGGCACACAGTGTGGTCAGGACTCTGTTCCTGACTCTTGGCTCTCAATGTGTTGGTCTCATTTTTTTCCCTTCTACCTCCGAAAGCTGCCGCCACACCTTAGGCAGCGCGTCCTTGGCAGCTCCAGGCTCACATTATTATCGCCCCTTGAAGACTCCAGAGCAGAGAGAGGGCTTCCCTTCTCCCTGCTGCACTGTCAATCCCCTAGAAGGACTCGCACCCAGGTTGGGTCACCTGCCAGCCTCTGGGTCCCCCGTGTGGCCCGAGGGTGCATCATCCGCATGGGGCCGTCTGGTGGGAGTGAAATCAGGGTGATTCCAAAAAATGCCTGGGAGTAGGGGTGGGCAGAGACACCACCAGCCAACTGACCTTTACAGCTATAATTTCTGTTAGGACAGTGAAGGGGCGCCTGGATGGCTCAGTTAAGCGACTGCCTTTGGCTCAGGTCATGATCCCGGGGTCCTGGGATCGAGCCCCGCATCGGGCTCCCTGCTCTGCGGAAAGCCCGCTTCTCCCTCTCCCACTCCCCCTGCTTGTGTTCCCTCTCTCTCTGTGTCTCTCTCTGTCAATTAATAAATAAAATCTTTTTAAAAAATTAAAAAAAAAATTAAAACAGTAAATGATAATGGTAATATTAGGAGAAACTCTCCAAAAATGTGTAAAAAGAGAGAGAGAGTTCAGAATCTCCCACCTTCTTCCACTCCCTGGAATAACCAGCGTTAACTGCCCCGGGTTTTATCTTTCTATGCCCTTACTTGTGCCCATACACCAACACATATGCCCAGTATGTGTGGTGAGGTAGGAATAGACTGAGCATATTACTGTGAAATTTGCTGTTCTCGATAAATACTTCATGGGCATCCCTCCAGGTCTGCTGCTTAATAACTACATGAGATTCCAAGTACGGGGGTACCATAATTATTAAACCGTTCCTGTATTGTTTCTGTTGTTTTCAGTTTTTGACCACCTTAAATAATATACAAGTATATATGTATATCCTATATGCAAGGGCTTTTATTTTTTCCCCCCATAGAGGATAGTTTCCCCCAAAAGATACATGACTAGGTAGGTCAAAATATTTGTTTTATGCTAATTTTAATAGATGTTCTCAGATTACTTTCTAAATAGACTGTAGCAGTTCACACTCTCCCTGGTAGTGTATGGGAACCATTATCCTGCATCCTCACCAGCACTGAATATTGCCCAACTTTTTAATTTTTGTTAATGATGGATAAAAATATCCTTTCATTATTGCTTTAATTTCCTTGACTATGTTGAGGATATTTTTTTTTTTTAAAGATTTTATTTATTTGACAGAGAGAGACAGTGAGAGAGGGAACACAAGCAGGGGGAGTGGGAGAGGGAGAAGCAGGCTTCCCACCGAGCAGGGAGCCCGATGCAGGGCTCGATCCCAGGACCCTGGGATCATGACCTGAGCCGAAGGCAGCCGCTTAACCGACTGAGCCACCCAGGCGCCCCGAGGATATTTTTTTTTCACATTGTAGTATTTAAATTTCTTTGTGGTTTGGCAATCTTTTTTTTAATTTTAATTTTTTTAAAGATTTTATTTATTTGAGAGACAGACTGAGTGCAAGGGGGGTGGGGTGCAGAGGGAGAGGGAGAAGCAGACTCTCCATTGAGCAGGGAGCCCAAGCTGGGCTCGATCCCACGACGCTGATATCATGACCTGAGCCGTAGGCAGACATACGGTGTATATTAGTTTCAGGTGTGCAATATAGTGATTCATCAGTTCCAGTCATCACCCGGTGCTCATCACAAATACATTCCTTAATCCCTATCACCTGTTTTACCCATTCCCCCACCACCACCACCTCCCCTCTGGTAACCATCAGTTCTTTGTACTTAAGGGTCTGTAGGGGTACCTGCGTGGCTCAGTTGGTTAAGCATCCGACTCTTGATTGTACCTCGGGTCTTGATCTCAGGATTGTGATTTCAAGCACTGCGTTGGGCTCCATGCTGGGCATGGAAACTACTGTAAAAAAATAGTCTGTTTCAATTTGTCTTTTTTTTCTCCTTTGTTCCTTTGGTTTCTTAAATTCCACATACAAGTGAAATTATATGGTATTTGTCTTTCTCTGACTTATTTCGCTTAGCATAATACCCTCTAGCTCCATCCACGTCATTACAAATGGCAAGATTTCATTCTTTTTATGACTGAATAATATTCCATTGTGTGTGTATGTGTATACACCACATCTTTATCCATTTATCAATGGACACTTGGGCTGCTTCTATAATTTGGCTATTGTAAATAATGCTGCTATAAAGATAGGGGTGCGTGCATCCCCTTGAATTAGTGTTTCTGTATTTGGGGGGTAAATATCCAGCAGTGCACTTACTGGATCATAGGGTAGTTCTTTTTTTAACTTTTTGAGGACCCTCCATACAGTTTTCCACAGTGGCTGCACCAGTCTGCATTTCTACCAGCAGCGCATGAGGGTTCCATTTTCTCCACATCCTCGCCAACACTTGTTTCTTGTGGGTTTGACTTGAGGCCTTCTGACATGTCAGGTGGCATCTCATTGTAGTTTTGATTTGTATTTCCCTGATGATGAGTGATGTTGAGCATCTTTCATGTGTCTGTTGGCCATCCATGTCTTTTTTACAGAAATACTGTTCATGTCTTCTGCTCATTTTTAATTGGATTACTTGTTTTTTGGGTGTGGAGTTCTTTATATATTTTGAAGAGAATATTTTCATATTTGTGTTATATGAATTGCCTGTTCAAATATCTTTTACCCATTTTTCTGTTAGGTTGTTTCTAATTACTAGTGTCTGTGGCTTTTTGTACATGAGAGATACTGACCCTTTCTTGCGTATTACAAATATTTTTTTCCTAGACATTTTGTCTTTAATGGGTTACAGTGGCTGGGGATCTTAAAGTTTCAACAGACATGTATTTATTTCGTCATAAACCTCTTCTGAAACTTCACCAAAAAGGCACAGCAAATATGTTCTATACTGCATAAATGTCCTTTAATGGTTTCCTGAAATTCAGTGAACCCCTTGAAATGTATTCACCTGTAAGAATCACACTATTTCATCCTGCTTTGGTAACCACTAGCACTTTTCATTATTAATTGTTTATCTGCAATAGCAGGATTTAGGAAGATGTTGTTGCAGCTAAAATACAAGCAGAGAGAGCTGAAATGACTTCCTGGATCTCCCTCTGATTCTCCCCCTAGTTGAACTCTCATGGCAAGCAGTGACTACTAGGCGTTTTTTTCTGCCTAGATTTCTAAGGTTCAAACTCTGAAGCACTTCCAGCCCATTGCACATCTGTCAAATTGTCTCAGAAGCCACTTTTCTCAGCCTGCATCCTTTTTTTTTTCCCAAACTATAAAACATATTGATCAACAAACTCCCCTCACATAAGGGAGCAACAGAATGTGCCATATAAAAGTTTACCATGTAATAATTTTTGACATTTCTACATGTTTTCTATGTGGTGTGTAGCTTTTTACAATATATTAAAATATGAGCTCTGTTATATATAAATATTCACTTCCCAATCAAATGCTTGACAAGAATAGTTTCTCTGTATGAAGTGGATCAGGTTAACTGGCACAGAACGCTCCTTACCAGGAGTGACATAATCTGAGGACCAACAGTTCAGTTGCTGAGATTCAGTACCTCATGCAGTAGTGTTTTTCTGCTCTGGTCCCACACAAAGCTCTTAGAGAATTCTGAAACTCACTTAAGACCAGAGATACGTTACTTTGGCCATTGAATCAATACTTACACCACTGTTAAATCCATTTTCAAATATTTCAGAATCATGCACTAGCATGAACTGTTTTTGCCAGCTACTGGGGAAACGGAAGGAAAAAAGATGCCTACTAAGTTTATCTGTTTTGTCTTGCTAGCACTTCTGTGCGAAAAACACTAAGATACCTGGTTTTCTCTAATAGTTGCAATAGAGGGAAATCCCAGGGGAAAAAAGCAAGCAAGCAAAATCCAGGCATTCGAAATCAATAATGCTAGGGTTTTTTTTTTTATAGAGTAGGAGTTGGCCTAGATCCCTCGTGGTTTTCAGAGCCCCAGCCCTGGTGTCACGCTGCAGAAAAAATAAAGAGTTGGTTTGAAGTTGAGACAAGCAGCTTAACAGCCTGTGGTGGGAGTGGGATCATGCAGGAAGAAGTAACACGCATGGGGAGTGTCCACACTGTCAGCTGGGCTTCTGGGACTCAGAATTTACTTAATAATGAAAGAAAATGAGAACTACCTGTGAGATTGCAACCTTTTTTCTAATTACAAGTAATATCGGTAAACATCAACCTAGCTCTTTTTTTTTTTTTTAAAGATTTTTTATTTATTTGACAGAGAAAGACACAGCGAGAGAGGGAACACAAACGGGGAGTGGGAGAGGGAGAAGCAGACTCCCCGCCGAGCAGGGAGCCCGATGCGGGACTCGATCCCGGGACTCCGGGATCATGACCTGAGCCGAAGGCAGTCGCTTAACCAGCTGTGCCACCCAGGCGCCCATCAACCTAGCTCTTAAAGGTGGCCTGGGATGGAATAAACAAGCACTGCTTCGTGTATCCCTTTGATCTTTTTTAAATCCATCCTTGTCACAAGCTTTAAAATACTTGTACTCTGTGACTCAGCAATTCCACTTCTAGAAATTTATGCTAAGTGTGTATGTACAGAAGTTTTACAAGTAAATTTTATTTTTCCATAGATTTTTGTGTATTTTCCAGAGTTTATATTATGAACAGTTCATGAGGGGGGAAATTAGGACAGTGTTCACTATTACCCTCAAACCAAGGAAACAATGTCTTAACAACCCATCCCTATTCTCGTCATGACGCACAGGGGTGGGCAGCAGGCAGCTTTTGTCATAGGAGAACGGTGACAGCGTGTACTTGACAGGCGTTTTTGCTCACTGGTCCTTAGTAAATCATTAGAATGAACCCTTAGCCCTCAGAACAAAAGGAACATTTTGGACTCAACCTACTGTTTTCCATTACAGAGGTGGTTGTAGGACTTGGTCCCAAGAATCAAACCTAGCACTTGGTGACACAGTTTGTCAAACATGGCGTGGCAAGCAAGAAAAAGCACAGCAAAGACAGGCAGAATTTACAAGGGCATGAGTGAATGATGGTAGTCAGCGGCAGCAAAGTATGACGGTGTGTATTCCCCAAGCATGCAGAGAAATACATTAGTTTAAAATATATAAACTTTAGAGGGAAACTGATAGGAAGAAATAAAAGAAGATCTTTATTTAATTATTCAGGAAAGAGTAATATGGAAATTGCTGGGTTTAATCCAGTTAGAAAGTCTAATGTATGCCCTGTACAGCTCTAAGAATGTGTCTACTTCCAAGTTGATAATTCAGTGCAGAAAACTCAAAAGACTATTTCCTTTTGTTTTTGTAGGTAAAAAGGGGTAACTATGGAGTTCAAAGGACAGAACTCTTGCCTGGTGACCGGGACAACCTGGCTATTCAGACCCGGGGTGGCCCAGAAAAGCATGAAGTCACTGGCTGGGTGCTGGTGAGTACCGAGGGTTGGCAAGGATTTCATTCCTAGGATTAGACTCAGCAAACCTGGCAAAGGTGCCAGACGTCCTGCCAAGCTGAAAGTACGTGCCCTGGCAGCCACACCTCTTTGGAACAGGCCTACCAGGAAACCGCTACTCCTCTTTCGGAGGGAACTTAAAAAAGAGCTGAGATTGGTTGAATGTTTTGGAAAAAACCAACAAATAAGAACTAATTTTTTTCTTTTAAGAATTCAAAGCAGGGGGCCCCTGCCTGGCTTAGCAGGTTAAGCTTCTGCCTTCGGCTCAGGTCATGATCCCGGAGTCCTGGGATCAAGCCCCACATCGAGGGAGCCTCCTTCTCCCGCTCCCTCTGCCTGCAGCTCCCCCAAATAAATAAATAAAATCTTAAAAAAATAAATACAAAGCAGGGGCGCCTGGCTGGCACAGTCGGTAGAGCATGTGACTCTTGATCTCAGAGTCATGAACTCAAGCCCCATGTTGGGCCTAGAGCTTACTTTAAAACACACCCAAAAAATTCAAAGCAAAATCCTTACAGGGTACTAAATGGCCTGAGCATTAATTATTTTAATTAATAGTTATTTTTATTTGACCTTTGATACTTCGAAATTGTACTTATACCCTATCAAGGTCTTCCTCAAACCGGTATGTGCACCTGTTGACAGTTCTTAAGCTATGTAGTGTGATCAAAAGCTGTCCGTGCTGTGCCTCAGAGTGTGAATCCTCCCGGGAGAACACCGGGGGCAAGCTGTCCGTCTTGCAGCACAGAACCTGCACTCTTTCTGGCAGTATTTTTGCTATGAATCCCCGATTCATCCTAAGAAATAATGACCTAACTGAAGCCGCAGGGAAGAGAGGACTGCCATAGAGGAGCTAAAGATGCTTTTTTTCACAGGTATCTCCTCTCAGTAAGGAAGATGCTGGAGAATATGAGTGCCATGCATCCAATTCTCAAGGACAGGCTTCAGCATCGGCAAAAATTACAGTGTTTGATCCCTCACAATGAAATACCAGTGGAAAAAGGTAGGTAATAAATCTCACAACTATTTAAGGACTAGTGCTTTTGTTTAAGAACAGAACAGAACCAAGGATGAGAGTATCTGACATCATGGCTCTTACGAAATTGTTATTCACAAAGGCATGCCATCAAAATGGAGAGCACAGGGCTCTAAAAGAACATTTGGATGGTTAATGGAATGCTTCTGTTAGGACGATGATACTTTCACCTTATCTCACATCTCAGTCTTGAACGGAATGGCTTCTATTTCCCCTCTCTATCCACATGGCAGTCTTCCTTGGTGTTGCAACTATTACATTAAATTTCCATTTTAAAGTAAATGATTGTAAAAAAAAAAAATAAAAATAAATGATTTGATTGTGAGCAATTCTGGTCCTTCACTTTGAGCTTTTATAAGAACAAGCCAGAAGGGAGAGTATACTGGCAAGGACCCAACTCTCTTCTTCACCATCAAAAAAGCTTCCTCTCAAGCACCTCTCCTAGCAGCGTCAGGGAAATGCTATTTTACATTTATATACTTCTCTTAGACCAATGTCTGAACTGGCTTCTCGTAAACCAAAAATTGAACAAAATTTACTTTCCGCATCTGCCGGCCCATCCCCCTGTGCAGATCGCTCACCTGCGGTATGGAAGGAGGAAGTATCAAGTAAACACAGGCTTGGTCAGACTCTCCTTGGCCAGGCTGTGTAAAGCCAGGTGATGAACAGCAGGAGCTCAGCGTCAAGTCATGTTTGCGTCTCAGCTCTGCCCCTAATTATCCTCCACTTGGAATGCTGAGTGAAAGCTTCATGGCCGAGGAAGTTCCTAAGCCTCTCTCCATCTCAACTTGCTTGTCTGTGAAACAAGCTCTTCCACTTCTGTTAACAAGGTCCATGGCTTATGCATAGCCCAGTACAACAAAATCCCATAGCTCACATTCCAAAGAGCATTCCACCCTCTCATTTGTACAGTTACTCACATACCCTTTATCCCCACATTTTAACATCTTCGTTTATTTGGAAATACTAAAAAGTACCTAAAGATCAGAAAGTCAACCACATCCATATCTGTAACTAATTTTCATCTTTTTCTTTAATTAGGTGAAGGTGCTGACCTATAAACCTGCAAAATATACCCGTCTGCATCACTGAAAGTCCTGGATAACTACAGCCCTGTTCTTGCCTAATAACCAGTTTCTTTTCCTCCAACCCACTAACGCTTAGTTATATTCACTGGTTTCACATAGAGGAAATCCAAAATAAAGATAACACATCAAGACTATCTACAAAAATTTATTGTCTATTTACAGAAGAAAAGCATGCATGTAATTAAAATCAATAAAATGCTTTCACAATGCAGTACTTTTTTTAAAAAAAAAATCTTGAAGAAACAAATATTTACAAGTTATCTTGAGACTCTCTTAAAAGAGCTAAACACTCATCATTCGAGGTGCAATACTCATAGACATAAGTTCCTGAAACAGCAGTTTGCACGCGTAAGGCATTCGCACCAAAGAAATCTGGGGGGAGGAGAAAAAGGTAATTAGCAAAACTGTATTTGAAATGACCCCACTTCCCTACCCCAGAAAGATATAAGGTCTTGGTATTGTAGATGATAAATAAGGGCTGGTAACACTCATCCTGCTACCTGGGCTTGTGGTTCTTTCTCCTGAGAGGCTTTGGTATTTCAGCCTTCCTGCCAGACATAATTTATATTCACCCTTCTCAAAAGATTTAAACTCCTTAATTTAAAATGTTTAAATTCCCTTGTACACATCCTTATTATTTCCAAAAGATGACCAGCTTAGAGAAATTATCCCACCAAAACTGGTTTTTAGAAAAAGCAAATTATCTTTTTCCTCATTTTAAACTAGGAATCTTTATACAGGTGTCATTCAAAATTGTGAAAATGCCAATCTGTTCCACCACAATGAACCTGCCTGGATGATGAGACCAACATGGTTATATCCTAAACAAGTATCAACTGCCAATAAGGTCTACACACCTGGGTTTTATTGCGGCAGCCCCTGCATTCATACGTATGGGTCCTCGTGTTAGCAATCGCCATTATTCCACAAAGATTGCAAACATGAACCTGATATGGATCTGATGCCTCAAACAATCTTTCCCTTAAAAACTGGGCTGCTCCATGGGCAATCTGACAATCTCGTTCCATTTCTCCAAACCGCAGGCCACCATCACTGTTAAGGAACAAAGAACAGATTATTTTTATAAAGCAGCTTCTCCATGAATGAGTCTCCCAGGCAATCAAGCCTGAAATAAATGTACAGTGGCAAAAGTAATGGAAAGAACAGGTGAATGATAACATGTTTCGCCAGTATGGAAGTGAAATGAAATGCATTGTTCAAATGGCCAAAAAGTGGATGGTGATGGCTTCCTTAACAGTCTCAATATACAAAATACATAAAACCAATGATTTTCTAATACCAAAAAACTTATCGGTCAACTTTGGAGGATGACAGACAACATTATTTTGAAAACTGGTAAAGAGAAAGAATCAAGCATTTATCCTGCCTATATGAACTATGTCACGAGATAAGCAGTTGAGGAAACAAAGTTTCTCTCTCCAGCAGTATTCCAGCTATTAAGTGAAGAAATGATAAAATTAGAATCTCAACAATTTGCAGTCCCTATTTAATTAAGGGCTTCAAGTAATGATCATACATAACTGCTAAAATTGTAAGACACAACCAGATACTGGAAATATACAACACTGCCTATAAGTATTACTCCAAAAGAATGCAATCCTTCCATTTCATCAAAGCTCAAGACCTAATTAGCTGTTTATAAGACAAACAGAAATGTACAGCCCACGAATGCAATCAGCAAAATCCAGAGTCTGAGAAACCCTCCAGGGCAAACAATCCAGTTTCTTCAACAAATCAACTGCAAGGAAAAAAGGTTGGAGGGCAACCTATAGATTTAAAAACAAAACAAAACCCTTCAACTGCAAAGCACAGACGTATTTGTATCCTGATCGAAATCAACAAACTTATTTAAAAATTATCCAATCAGGAAAATTTGAACATCAGATACTTAATAATATCAAGGTTACAGGTGACCCCTGAACAACGCATAAGGGGCGCTGATAAATACAAATGATTCACTGATATGGTTTCAGATCCTACATCACAGCTAACCTTTAAGAAACTACAACTTGCTTTGGCATAGCATCAAAAAATAATATCCACAGTCACCTAAAAAGGTTATTAAAATATTCCTCCCTTTTCTAACCACATATCTATGTGAGATAGGATTTTCCTCATATACTTAAATATAAAAAATACTGCAATGGAATGAATGCAGAAGCAGATACAAGAATCCTGCTGTCTTCTAGTAAGCCTGCTCATTAAAAAGATTTGCAGGGGCGCCTGGGGGGCTCAGTTGGTTAAGAGACTGCCTTCAGCTCAGTCATGATCTCGGGGTCCTGGGAATGAGTCCCACATCGGGCTCCCTGCTCAGCAGAGAGTCTACCTTTTAAGGGCATTAAGGAGGGCATGTGATATGATGAATGTTATATGCAACTGATGAGTTACTGAACTCTACATCTGAAATTAATGATGTACTATATGTTGGATAATTGAATTTACATAAAAAAAAATTTAAAGATTTGCGGGCGCCTGGGTGGCTCAGTTGGTTAAGCAACTGCCTTCAGCTCAGGTCATGATCC